TCTTGGGATACTTGAACGCCAATCTTTTTTTTCTGTCACACGATTCGTCCACTCGGACAAAGTTCAAGCACTTGCTGAAGGCCCAGCCATCTCGATCTGATGTCTGCGTTCATATTCGGGAACATTGTCGATAAAAAAGCAAATATTGCGCATATCTGAGGCACAACATCAACGCGTAAGTATTAGGTGGTGTGTTCCTTTACTAGAAAACACATAGATACGTGATTCTAAAAACTTCGGTGTTTCTTACGTGGCACTGAAAATGCAACGCTATTCCCGAGACAGCCCTCTATGTATATAACATGGTGCTGCCACCTGTTGTTTTTTCTTGCACTAAATCATTGTGCACGGAGTCTGCAAACACAACAAATGCTCCAAAATACATCGGTGGCTGTCTTTCAGATCACTCGTCCATTCGCCAATTACTCTGTCAGCTCGCGTGCTCCTTTGTTTGCCCACATCTTCGACAGCTAGCTGAGGTCGCACCGAAGACTTCGGCGTTCGTAGGACGCGGTACTCGTGCTTAGACGCGCGCCTACTGCACGATGAACTGGACTATTGACCGGCGTGACCATCCCACTGACATCGAGGGTCACGTCAGAATAATCTTTCTTGCACCCGTTGGAAAGACTGTGAGCGTTGCGGATGACGTACGGAGGATCTATCTGATCGCGCGATGCCCGCCTGCCACAAACACGAAACAAGCAAACAGGCTTCGTAAACAATGCGAGGAATGTTGCCGAGCGTGGAGAATGACTTTTTTTGTTAGGTCGCCTCAGTCCTCATACCGCAACCATTGTTTCGCGTTGAGCACTCGCACCTGCTCCTCTTAGCGTCATGAACAATAACGCTTAGCCTATACGGCATGCCGTTCCCTGACGCATTTGTTTACATTCATTCAATCATCCTTCCTGTTCGGTCTATATGTCAAGTCTGCGCCATATCACGTCCCTACGCACTTGCAGGGCGCAGCTAGGCGAAGCGAAGCTCTGGAAAGGCATGCACCGTGTGTTGATAGCACGCGTACAAAATGTCGCGCAATGTTCTAAGGAAAATGGTAAATTCCCACACTGTGTCTCTCAGTCATACCTCCCTTTAGTCCGGGTCTCCGTCTCGCGAACTCTGTGCATCATAATGATAAACAGACAGGCCCAAGATCGCAACCGTAGGGCTTAATGAAACAAGATTCAGACGAGCCGTCTTTCGAGGCGCCTGTGTCCGTTATGATCTCATCTCCAGACGCCGAGCAGGATGCCAGTCGCTGAGCGATGGGTAAGGGAACACGAAAGGGCGGTCTGGGCGCAGCACGTCAGCGCAGACATTTTGTCGCCGACATGCAGCTGCGAGCATCGACATCGAAACCTGGGAACTCTGCACCGGCTGTGCTTGTATAGCGCTGAGCGTGCGCTTCTCTCACGGACGAGCCTCACAATGCCGGCGCACCTGAGAGGCCGAGAACACTTGCGGCCATCGTTCGACCGTAACGCCCGCAGCTTGAACCGTGCGGCTCTTCCAGGAAACGAACGAAAATGTCGAGAAATATTAATGAACAAAAAAAAAACTAAAGCAAGAGAAAAGTGAAGGGTTCTATACGCTCGATTCGTCAGAGGAGAGCTTGCGGGTTTGAAACAGACGTGTTCTCTGTAGTGGGTTAGCTGCTGCGCCACAAGTGCACTCACAGGGGTTCAAATCCAGGTGAAATTCCGCACGATTGCACATACGTGAACACATGCAAACCCACGTTCGAACATACATGAAGAGTTTTTAACATGCCCGTCCCACCTTATCCCTAAAAAGAAATTTCTGCCTACGTCTCTGTCTTACGGCGTTGTCTTGTCCGTGTGCTGCTCTGGTAGATTCGAGTGGTCCCTGCCCTACGGCGTTGTATTGTCCGTATGCCACTCTGGTACGTTCGAGTGATTACTGTCCTACGGCCTCGTCTTGTATGCTGCTCTGGTACATTCGAATGTTCCCTGTCCTACGGCGTTGTCTTGTCCGTTTGCTTCCCTGGTACATTCGAGTGGTCTCTGTCCTACGGCGTTGTCTTGTGCATACACTGCTGTGGTACTTTTGAGTGGCCCTTTCCTAAGGCGTTATCGCGGCCGTATGTTACTCTGGTACATTCCAACGGTCTTTCCAGAGTTCTGTTGAAGCGCTAGCATGTTCGGTCAAACTATAACCTAGAAATTCTTATAGGACAAGTGATTGTGTCTTGCGTTGTGAGAAAACTGCGCCATTGTTTTTCACACTTCGTATTTATGCTGAGGACTTCGTAGAGCTGTTATTTAGCCACTTTTGCAGAAGCACGATTTCAAAAATATGACATGAGCACAAGGTCATCAGTTCGATTCTAGGCCACTGCAGCCGCAATCTGATATCTGCGAAACTTTTTTTCAGAAATCTCACTTTCAGGTATCTAGATTCAGGTGTGTATTGAAGAAATCTAGATGGTCAAAATGAACCTGCACTTAGCCGACTACGACGCGGGTTATCATCGCACCGTGGTTATTGAACGTAACAGGTTATAGATTGATTCGCTTGAAGCAGTCGACAAGAGAGACGGGTGGATTCGACAATGAAGAATGATGACCCGTCTGAGGCCTGATGCTGAATGGTCTTGTAATATTTTAAATAAGTTATTCATTTCTGTTTGTAGGGCACAATTTTTACGTTCTTTTATTTCGTTACTTAAATTTACTTAAATGTTTTGTCAGAGTTGACCCACGTCACTTCGACAATCGTATTAAATAGCGGTTTAATAAGAATTCAGACGCAACAGCATACGCCAAATGTGTAACGCTGCTTTCATCAGCGACAGGGAAAAACAATAGATTTCAATAAATTCCAATATTACCATCCTAGAAGCGAGATAACGGACGACAAAAAAAAAGCAACAGTGCATGCGTGTATATGTGCGAGAATGTGCAATGTGTTTGTCAGTGTGTGAATGTGTGTATGAGCGCAATACTATCCTTTTGTTACGTTAATGTGATTGATGACTATGTTTTCCTCGCTTTCGTTTCACCGCGCCAAGTACACGTATTACCTTGTTCTTATTGTAATGACTTTTTTTTTTGCAGTATCAAATGCTTCATTCCCAACTGGCGAATCGCAGAATGTGAGAGTGAACCACACGTCCACAGGAATTAAAGAATGGCGAAATTGAACAAGTCAGTTTCTGATTTCCCCCTCTCCCTTCAACACTATCGCGAGTATTCTCTTCTCACAATGCATGAAGCACGGGCACGTTTTCTGTGTCCGTCCACACTGTTTACAAAACTATATAACCATATCTTTTTTTGTCTACGTGAGCGACATGCGCAAGCAGCTGTTACATCCCTGAAAATTAGTTTTTTTTTTATTTTTAAACAAAACGTCTACGTGGAAACTGCTCATTCGGCTCATGTCTCCATTCAGCACGCCTCTAGCAAAAAGCCCTTCGACGTAGGCATAGATAAAGCAGTTCAACTTTCAAAAAAGAATGGAGATCAGCGATTCGCTCATGTCGAAAGGCAGCAGTACACGTTGAAAAGTAGAGCGCGGACGTAACGTCCTGTCCTGGGCTGCCTGACACTGACCGCAATGCTGCAGGACTTTGAGCGCTTGCTTTTTACACTACATTTCTGCGTCTCTAGTTCGGCCAAACAACAATCTCGATCAGACTCACTACTTTATTGCCATAAACACACTCACAGTGAAAAATATCACTTTTATTTTGGCGTTTCGACCCGGATAAATGGATAAATGCCGGTTCCCGGTCGAAGCGTCACAACAATATATATATATATAGACGATAAATGTACGCATCTACGAACCACGAAGCTACAAAACACTGTGCATCTATTTGCAACGTTAAGAAGTTCCCAGCCAAAACGTTGGAAGTAACTACATTCTAGTCCATACTTGCTTTTTTTTTCATATGAATACTTAACTACCAAAAGCTGGTGAACGTGAAAACAAGTATATGACCCCATTCCTCCATACTGACAGCGTTGACCATTTTATAGGCGGCGCTCTTCTGATCATACACGAATCAATAAAGACTGTTACCACGGAGGCGTCACACTCGCGGTAATACTCCAAGTCTTATCTATCTCAGGTAGCGGACGAGTGGCGTCCTTATCTAGCGGCATAGACGACCTCATTCACCACTGATAACGTGGTCGTCGAGGCACTCCAGTTGCGTTGACACCGTGCAGACGACTGCAACGCCGGTGCTGTAACTGTTTGATGGCAGTTGATATTTCGTTATCGGCTTCATATATAGTTACTGCAACTGCTTATTTGATATCAGATTCGGTTAGATAGCTGCAACGAACCAGATGAGACTTTGCCTCACGTTGACGACCGTTACCGCCTACGTCCTTTCTTAGATATCATAACTCGTTTACTGGACCTCCCAACACAAGTGACGTTCCTCCGAGATCCTTTTCAGGCACCACGCGAAGTTTAACGAGATGGGCGAGAAATGTGCGGAAACAGTACTAATGCTTACGTATTCAATGATGATACAATATTTATAGCACGGAAACAAGCTCAGGGCGTTTCGCGCATTCATTAGCGCAATGCCCTGACCTTCAATCCGTTGCACACAATACATCAGCTCCGTGTACATAGAGTAAGTATATAAAGCAGGACTCTAAGAATTTACACAATGAAGGCTTTATATAGTTAAGGTTTAAGATAAGAGCCCAGCTGATGGCAAGGTATGCTGCTTTTAAGATAAGGGCGTTAGAGCCTTGAGAAAGAAACTTAAAGGAAACAAATTTCGAGCAACGATAACCTCAGTGTCATTAGAATAGTGTCACAAAATATCGTTAAGTGCGTTTTCTTCGCTGTCAAGAAAAAGCAGGGCTCTATGGTATCGTTGGTGCGGGGAATTTTTTCCGCATCATTCTAATCGCATAAACTTCATTATTTTTCCCCCATCTCTAGATACTTTGTACAGAAAAAGACTTGCGATAACAGATAGCTGTTCCTTTATTTAACCGATTACTCACTTCTTGCAGGGTCGCCATCGGCGAAAGTTGCCAAGATTCTCGGATTCATCAGACAGATCTCCGTCCATCCCTGGGATATGGCGTAGTGTGCTGGAAATGCAAACCACGCGATCTAAGCATTAAACGTTACTTTACCTGGCATAACAGGTTTGCTTACCCCATTTGGTTCTTGCAGTGATCGCTGATTGAGATTCTTAAAGATCAACATGAAAAAAATCAAGTGCGATTGTCGTGAATAATGAAGTACTCGATATATTAAGCTGTATTTTTTGTTTAACGAGTCTGTTTGAAGGCGTAGTTGGTATTTACTGCAGAGCATAATTTTGCCTCGAAGTAAGAACACACAAAAAGGGACTTCTCAGAGTGCCCCCCTCCCCCATACATGTGTGTGTTTTTACTACACGACTAAATTGTGTCTCTTTCACATGCATGAATTTTCAGCCTGCTGAATTTTTATTAGGGATGCTGAAGATGATTCAGAAATTAATCTTGGAAAATAAAACTACGAAACGGAAACCTCTTGGAAAGAGAAACAAAATGTACAGATGTTTGTAATCACCGTAAATAAAATCACAGCAAAACCAAAAATATTGGCAAGCAAAAATACAAAATCAGGTATCAAAAAGACAAAGCAAAGAGTAAACATCAGCTGTTTTTTTCCTCTTAGGGAGAGTCAGATGGAAAACCACTGTTTTGTGAACACGGTATCATCTATGACAAAAAATATTAAAATTAAAGTAATACATATTACAACTTTAGCGTTTTAAAAATAACTAAGGATGGTGTAGTGACAGTACTTGTCACTTCAACTATGCATTTACAGTATCTTTTTTTATTGCAATTCTTCGTAAGACCTAAGATCCGCTGGTTTATTACAACGTAATAAGCTACCAAGCAGAACAATATAGCTGCGATAACAGTGATAACAGCACGGCTGCACCGCGACACGACATTTAAACCTGCAAACGCGTGCTTTTGAGATATCAGAAACACAAATGTCTCGTGCAGAAAGGACGCTATCTCGCATTCAATGAACACACAAATTGGCGACTCGTCCAAATCCGTTTGCATGTTAAAGTACTAAGCCTCATCATTTCTTTGCCAAAGGTCAAACACTGCCAATCTTTACAGTGGTCTAACAAATGATGATAACGTGCATAATTAGCAACATTACAGCTACAACTTAGCTTTAGCCTAAAGCCCATACTGCGATTTTGAAGACATGTTTAAACAGTGCGAAGAAGACAAGACGTCAGACACATAGAAGACGTTCTATGTCTCTAAATCATATTAGGGATTATGATAACGCATCTCGGCTGTACAGCGATCGGTCTAATTAGAAATGGGAAAACTTGGCGCTCTTATCATGGCCACGAAACGTAATCGTCACGATTCAGCAAGGCATAGGCGAGGCTCACCTAGAATTTACTCAAGAATTATCGAGATCCTCAGTACTTGCAGCACGCCGAACACCGAATCACATAATCCTCACCGGCGCAGCACAGACACCCAGAACAGGTTCACGGCACCCACAACACGTTGACACTGTGTCGTTCTGCGTGTCTGGTGATCTATGGATGAACGCGAGTTCAGAAACACACCCAGCAGATCGGCTTCCTGCATAGTGACGGCATATACGTGTTTGTGGACTTACGATCACGTCCGCATGATCAAAAGAAACCCGATATCCTATCACGTCCGTACTTCTTCGGCGCGCAAATTCTCGCGCGCTTTCCTCATCGTACGCGTGACGTCATTCGTAGGCGTGCAGTGTTACTCTTTGGGAGAATGAGTCACGCGCACGACGGTGCACTTGAGGTCCGTAGTCATTCCTAAGCTTCCCGGATTGCGGTATACTTTAGCACGTCACCATTTGTACGGTGCTGTTTGCTCAGTATATAAGTACCGCAGAGTTTTCCCTTCACGAATGAAACTCGGAGCAGGCATGTTCTGTTTTCCGCGAATTTGACGGAAAAAAAAAGGCTTACCGCCTGGCGAAGAATAAAAGGTGTAAATAAAGGACTACAAAGAAATACAGAAAAAAAAGAAAGAAAGAAAGTGAGGAAGATAGTGAGGTGGTAAATATGGTAGACAGACAGACAGACAGACAGACAGACAGACAGACAGATAGATAGACAGACAGACAGACAGACAGACAGACAGACAGACAGACAGACAGACAGACAGACAGACAGACAGATAGATAGATAGATAGATAGATAGATAGATAGATAGATAGATAGATAGATAGATAGATAGATAGATAGATAGATAGATAGATAGATAGATAGATAGATAGATAGATAGATAGATAGATAGATAGATAGATAGATAGATAGACAGACAGACAGACAGACAGACAGACAGACAGATAGATAGATAGATAGATAGATAGATAGATAGATAGATAGATAGATAGATAGATAGATAGATAGATAGATAGATAGATAGATAGATAGATAGATAGATAGATAGATAGATAGATAGATAGATAGATAGATAGATAGATAGATAGATAGATAGATAGATAGATAGATAGATAGATAGATAGATAGATAGATAGATAGATAGATAGATAGATAGATAGATAGATAGATCTTTACATTGACTTCATTAATTGTCCGACATAATGTGCTCCCTAGAATTAAGAAATCGACCCGGAGATTTAATATATTCCATCCTTATACGTACAACGTGAAACTCGATGGTATCACCCGTGCCCCGTTAATTCCAGGTCGGCTATATGTTGCGACCGTGCAAGCTTCTCACCGTTTCTCAAACAAAATATAAATAAAGCTGCAATTTCCGTATGTCAGTAACGAAGCAAAAGTGCCCTGCCGATATCAGGGAAGACAGCCGAAGCTTTCTCATTTAGTCTCTTTAATCCCACCCGTGATCCCGGTCTCAATAAACCGACGAGGCACGCGCAAGAATCAGCGGAAGACAGCAGAAGAGCCATTTTTAGAATTTTCTTTTTCGTATTCTTCCTTTTTTTTCCTTTATTTTTTTCCCCAAACGAGTGCCTCAGCTGTCGAGCGTTTGAGCGATGAAGCATACAGGAAGTCCGCACAACAGCGCAGCCTGCTCAACACCGAGGAAGAGAAAATGAAAGACAATGCTTATCCGGTTACACTTTGGGAATTTTCAAAATCTCGTCAGCTGCCAGAGCTACAACGATCCACCGGCTACTGGAAAAGCTTAATTAACGGGCCAAGTGACGCATTGTCATTGCCCATAGTAGGCATCGTATAGATTAGCTGCTGACGGGCGCGCTGCAGTCTTGCGTAGTTAACGACTATAGCGTTGCTAATCCCGAAAGGAAGGTTCAGTTCCCCGTAATGGAATTCTCACTTCGACAGAGGTGAACAGACACAATGAAGAAAAAGAATTGAAGGAACGTCCACATAGTCATATATAGGTGAACGTTAGATATCCGTGGTGACCCTTTTTTTTTCTAAACTTTCCCAAGGTTTCGAGGCGACACATAGCTGCATTTTCTGACGCTCTAGATCTATGGTCTACGCGCAGTGGAGCACCTGCAAAAGCTAGAACAACATTTCGAGTGACATTTGCAAATATCACGCTGCTATCTTTCGGCCGCGTCTCTTATAATCCATGATTTTTGCGTCACGGCATAAAGTGTCTCTATACATACGGGAACTCCAAGTCAATTTGGAATAAAGGTTATTCTAGCGCGTTTGTTGTTGAACTTTACCTCAGCCGAATATTCTTTTCTACACAAGAAGTAAGTAATCACGGTAATTTTTTTTTATTTCAAGTGATACAAGTGGGGTAATGGTCTTTTCCCCTCTGTCCCTTTCTACATCTCTTTTACATGAAACACTCGATTCCATAGCTGCTGAACTCGTGAGAGGAACACGTGCTCTCTCCAGAGCTAATATCACTTACGGCTCTTCGCAAGCACACATATGCGTTGTGACGCGTATTTCGAGAGAGAGAGAGAAAGGTGGAGGAAAGACAGGAATGATAACAAGGCGAAATCTGCGTTTGCCTGCCTTCCGTTTGGGAAGCGAGAAAATAATTGAACAGTTCTCTTCATTGAGTGCGAGAAGACGCACGAAGTCTTTAAGACTACAATGCTGTACAAACGCACATACACACACACACAAAAAAACCCCACACTGAATGCACAGTATCATTCAGGTTCTTGCAACCGCAAGGTGAAAGCATATAAGAATATACGAGCCTTTCTCTCCTACTAGTTGTGCTGCAAGTACCTGGTACTTCTTATTATCAGTTTAGAAGCCGAGACGAGAAAAAAATACACTTGACGAGTTCACGTTCGGTGGCGTACGGGGTGGTTCACAGAACCTATTGATAAATCAACGAAAATAAAAAGGGACCGAATCCATATAAGGAGTCCGACATTAGCGCGGCCTGCGCGGTATTAGGGCGAAGGGGTAAAAGTTCCTGGCTCAACTTGCACTAGCTGCTGCAGCGGACGATCACCTGCGTGCGAGACACCGGTTATTCGTGCGTAGAAAGAGATCGTGGCCGGTAAATTAAAGGTAAGACATAAAGAGAGCGAGAGAGAAAAGTGCATCAAATAAAAGCCGTAGTCTACTAGGCGGCCCTGTGGAAACGTGACGCGAAAACGTGCCTGAATCGTGAGACTGCCAGGGGTTGATCGCATAACACCCCCCACCCTCCCTCTTGCTCTATTCCCTCGTCCACTCTCTTTCCTCTCTTCTCCTTACTTCCGTCGTTCGCTGTCCCTGCGCCTCGCTCTCTCCTTCCTCTCTCTCTATCTCTTTACCTTTTAATCCTATCCTTTTAATATCTTCTCTACCCCCATCCCTCGTGAGCTACTGTTGAGGTGTCCTCGCCCTGAGAGACAGTTACGGCGCTCACTTTTCTCTTCTTTTCACTTAAAATCGCCCCACCCCCCACTCTCTTTCACTTCCCTTTGCACCTTGTGCACAGGAGAATCTGTTGCTGGGCCTGTTGGTACATACTTGAAGAAACCAGCTTAAGGAAACGTTCAAAAGAGGAGAAGACGACACACACCGGCGTGCTGGTGTGTCGATCGTCTTCTCCTCTTGTGAACGTGTCCTTAAGCTGATTTCTCCATTTCTTCACCTTGTGCACTGCTGCTTGCCACACCTCCTATCTCACTGCCCTCTCTCTTTCCTTCGCCTCTTGGCCCCAACTTTGTGCGTGGCTGCTGGAGCGTATTGCACTCTTGCTCGTAAAAGATGCAAATATCGAACGCCGTGGCTGTGCATATATATATATATATATATATATATATATATATATATATATATATATATATATATATATATATATATATATATATATATTCTGAGCAGAAACGGGGTGGGAGAGGTCCACCGTCCACCCGAGAATAGCAAAGGGGTGCATGCTGTTCATTTCCCATATATAGTTAACGCATGTACTTTCTTCCGTAGCATATTCAATTGTGCTTAACTTCCTACCACTCACCCGGGCGCGTAAAAAAATCGAGTTAGTATCATAAAGTAGAGGGTCCGGTCGACTTGAAACGTTGGCAAAAACTTTCGAAGACCACGTACAAGGTGAATATATATTTACTGACGCTTCAGATCCCCCCCACAGGCCTCGATTACAACAGTGTTTCGCAATTATTACGAACAAAGATCCCGTATGGAAGCCGAAATATCAGTAAATTAATATTTTCTGCGCGTTAGTCGGCGTCTTTCAAAGCACTAATCCGAATTAGTTTGTACACATCTTACACGATATTGAAAAGGCGTTGGTGCTTTCTTACGTATGCAATGAAATAAATGCATACAGCTTAATTATATTACTTTATAGATAATACCCTATCTGATTATTTCCCTAGATTTAGATATGTTTACTCTTTGCTATAGTGTGGTGATTTCTTATTTCTTACCTGTACTACCATAATTATTTAATTAGATGGTGTTGCACTGTTCCTCGTGTCATTGGTGCATGAATGCTACTCGTACATATTGTACTTATGAGAGCGCTGCCCGAAGTTCACTTTTCAGTACCTGACAAAATGCTCAACGGGGGCCTGTAAAGTATTTCTATATAATTAAAAATTAAATAAATTGTGCTTTTACTTCCCACTTCCTCTACCTTTACAAGAGCTGCTCATTTTTTTTCAATACTCACCAGTGCCTTTACTGCACAATTCGATGATTTCTTTTATCCGCATTGCTCGAACTGACATACGGCTATGCTTGCATTGTAAGTCGGACAAGGAGACTCAGTCGGAGTGTGTTCTCGCGACCGATTACCTTCACTCATGCGGTTTTCCTTCCCGTCCTCCCTGAATTAGTGTGAGCAATTACTAGAGGGCAGCAACTGCGCCATTCTCCTAATGCACCCCTCAGTAAGTCAACTTGCCAGTGATCACTCATATGAAAAGCGTGCGAGAAGCGTTCAATCTTTGTGCATATCTTATCACGCGGATGCTGTTTTTTATATAGCGTGAGTAACCGCAATATGCGCCAACATTATGCTGCCACGACGTCTGGAGGCTTGTGTATTCGTATATCTTTTTTTTTTATCGCTGACGACGAAACTTGCGTCCCTGCATTATGGCTTCCGCTTGTCAAGAAGTAGCAAAGGTACAATAAAGCGGAGCGATTGCCAATTTACACTTTAGTATTGTGTTTATGCGCTACACAAATGCTTGAAGGTGAGGTTTGTCTAGTCTACAGAACTTCTAAAAGACAAAAAAAGCCAGGAATGTTTAGCACAAAGCTACGTGCGAACTTTGTCACTAAGGTTGTCCACGGTGCACTACGTAATACTGCCTATAGAGTTCTTCATCGTGCAATGACATGAAGTGCAAATTTAAATTGTACGAACAACCTGGAAAAGCATGTACGCACTATCTACAGTTTGGGGTTATGACTTTTTTTCAGGCCACTATCACAGGTGTTCCTATGGCACTGATGCGTGGAACCTTTCGAATGCCCCTGTACAGCGCCACGTTCCGAAACGTCGCCAGGGCAACCAGAAGGATCAGCATATATGCCGCGTTTCACTCTCAACGGCTGCATCAGCCGCATTGAAATTTCATCCTTCCCACACGGACGAAGTACAAGGAACATTTCACCACGCTTCTTAAAGGAGTAAACAATGCAATGAGCCCCTGTTTCGGTATTTTGCGAGTCTAAAACGCCGCATCGGCGTTTCAATCCCGCCCCCCCTTTCATCTCCACAAGAAAGGTCGTTCATGAAGATAACGCAACCAAGGCTCGTTCTTTGATATAAGTATGTGACAGTTTTTTCTATTACGCATTAGTCCCGAAGGAGTTCAAAGACATTGGGACAAGCAGGCCACTCCTTCAAGAGGAAGTAATGCCGCTCACGTGTTCAGGTGTATCTACCTGGCGGAAGGTTGACGCAAATTGCTTTCTCGAGAGTTGTGGCGCTTCAGCGTGAAATGTCAGCGACACCGCAGCTGCAGGCCGCGATTGAAGCATCACACTCTGTCAAGCTCCGGGATGCGTTTCGTTCAACGGTCGCCTACGTAAAAACATCCGGAAATAATGTACGGCTGAGGTGAGTGACAGACACGAACACGCATTCGCACATGTCACTGGCATCGGTGCTGTGCGTGTTTTTTTTCTGCATTTAAAATGGTAGCAATGATTATGTGCTTCAAGCCAAGTGACGACACCGTATGACACTATCTTATAGACTATAGATGTTAGAGCACGAACATGATAGGACACGCACTTAGTGGCGTCACGTTGGTGCTATCAGTATATCGCATGCTAGTTCCCTCGCATGTACAGAGGCCCAATAACCGTTCCGGCGGCATCATGATCACGCTAGAGCAATGGAATGCCAAGTGAGTAGGCAGACTTGACGTCGTCTAAGCCGACATGTTGGAGCCATGTCGTGCGTCCTTGGCGTCATGTGCAAGCTGTCATTAAGGTGTGTCGCCGAAATTTGTGAATGAAGTTTGCAATGCCCAAATGCGACAGTCTTGCTAAGCACGTTATCGCGATTGCATATTACACCGCGTTCGAACGGGAAAAGTGCATTGCGGGTGGGGTTTGGCCAGAGGTTGGACAAGGTATTGAAGCGCGAAAAGTAGCACTTTATCAACACAATATTCCACATTGATATTCGATGAAGCCTTGAGCGAGCAACGTGAAACAAGCCATAGCAGGGCCGAGAAATATACAATTACGTCACTTTCGCGGTAGCGAAATGAGATAGTTGTATATATCAGCAGTTAGATATTTCGGCAATTTTACATTTTGCCTTGCCATTGCGATTGTCCTGACATGGATCTATTTTCGTTCCTGTTTACATAATTGAACCTTAACATGACGACCGTGGACCAGCACACAAAATACTTAGCTGCGGCAGCATTTGTCCCATGCATCGCGTGTCCGTATTTACGCTTTAGCTTGCATGTCACAAGTTCGATTAAGAATCACCTAAGCTTTTATTACAGGCATTACAAGAGTGTGAATTCGTGGTTGTTCGAGATGCATAACTGTTCACCAAGCTTAAAAATTTGACACAGTAGAAGGGAAGCGACCGCAGACGAGCACTATTGTCAAGCGTCAGATTTCTGACGCTACGTGAACGGCGATCGTTGAAGACTGCATCGAAATCACACTGCGCTTTCACCGGCACTCGCCAAAGTTCGCGACCTTAATGCGCGGAACTACCTCCGAAGCAGTGCAGGAAAGCTCTCGCGTGCGAAACGATTGCATGATTCGCCGCTCAAAAGTACTCGCACCTGTGAAGTTGGAGGTTTCAGCAGTAACGATACTGCGGAAACGGGCCCTGCTACGACAAGCCAGGCGAACATATTTAAAGCTCTTATAAGCGCGGATACGTCATCGTCAACTCGAGCGTAGCAGCTGCACGGTGTCGTCTGCTACACAAACGGACGCGTACGCAGACGCCTAGCGAAAAAGATCGACACGGGAGATAGGAAAAAAAAAAACTGCTCAAAAGAAATCAATTGAGGCATCTGGTAGGCGGTGCCCGCCGACTCACCCGTCAAAATGTTCGATCAGAATCCTAGCCTGGCGCAGCCCTGGCGCCGGGATTCCGGGAGCTCAAGCTCGGTTGAGGTGAGGTCCAAGCGCGTTGTCGATGAACACGGTGGGCGATACGTCATCTTTGTTTTCCACCTTTTACGTCGCGTTGGGCATTACTTTCGTCGTATAAAATCCACGGGACGTCGATGTCGTTCTCCGGGAAAGACTACGGTACACCGTCGAAGATCGCACACCGCCGCAAGGGGCGTCGGTTTGTGTATCACCTTTCCAACACTCCCCTCAACACCACTCAAGCACTTCCACGATTTCGATCACAGCACGAACAACAAAATAAATGACGCGAAGGAACACGGAATCGGGAACACGTGTGCAGGCTCCTGTCGTCAGGAGAAACAAACCGCGTTGCGCCGCAAACAGAAAAGCCCGCGAGAGAAAAAAAACACGCACAGCAGGCGCACGCACGCTCGGTTCTTCTAGTCTGCGCCGGTCGCCCGCAGGAGCAGACGAAACGAAACACATGCGGACGCAAGCGGCGCCACCAGAGGGGAGCAAGGCACTGCGCATGCGCACGCGGCATGCGACCGGCGCGCCATGCTTTGGTCGGAACGCGCACTACGCGGTAGGCAATCGATTCACACACGCCGGCCGCTTGGCTCTGCCGAGAGGAGGGTCTCCGAGGGGTGAAAGCGAAATTTGGCCGCCGCTTTGGCGTTGTCTCGCGCTGCCGGGAGGAAGGCCGCAAATTCCGTACTCCCCGCCGCGCGCCGCCCGTTTCCCTCCGTGATTGCCATCGTAGTATAAGGGTTTGTTTATTTTTGTGACGACGACTTCAGCATCTTTATACTTTCTTATCGGCGCTGCTCGATGGTGACCCGTAACGCGCCGTTCAAGGCGCTGCGTGCGTTGTGTCTTGTATGATGTAAAAGGGCAATGCGCGGGCTTTACGATGACGGTAATTCTCTCCCGCTCTCTCTTTTTTATCCTCGTTCAGAGTCCGGCCGCCACTGTTGCAGGGCGTCATTTTGCTCGGCCGTGTCTAGGACGGCTCGTATAGGAAGCAAAAAATTCTGGCACGTGTGACGTAGACACTCGTGTCCTGCTGTGTGAACCGAGTTGCTGCCCTTGTACGGGGCCGCGAGCATCCTTTTAAGCAGGTAACACCTCGATTGCGATTTACAACACATGTCGACAGCAGCATGCACAGCACTGAAGTTATCTCACATTGATTTCTCGTGCTCACACTAATGTAAAGACCACGCATTTAATTTGCATGCCAAGTGCCATCTTCTCAACTGACCAACCAATACACGTTAATGGATTGTCCGTTTTGATTCTTCACCTTCAACGGTGGCCTAGTGACTATGTTGCTCGACTGCTGACCCGCAGGTCACGGGATGGAGTCCCGGTTACCGTGGCCGCATTTTCGGTAGACGCGAAAATGCTTGACGCATGTTCTAAGATTTAGGTTCCCATTAACAATCCTCCGTTGGTCGAAACTTCCGGAGTACTCTACTACAGCGTCTCTTTTAAGCCTATGTTAGCTTTGGGACGTTAAACCCTGAGCATTATTACTAATATTCTTATTATTATAGTCTCTCTTTTCCAAATGTATATAGCGCAGAATATTTTAGACTGCGGCAGTGGACAGCTTCTGTTCCTGTCCGCTGCAAGTTTCACTTTTCTTTCTTCGCATTTACATTACCATTCGGATAATAACTTCCACTATACTTTCCTTGGCACAATTATCTCTTAGATCTCATTCATATTGTGTCAAACATGAAAAAATGAGCTCTTATGTATCGACTTCCTTCCTTAATTTATTAACGAGGGTCTCGTACTGGCAGACTTGGTCCCTTTAGGTTGTATACGAGTGACAGTTGGTCAGCTGCCAGCTCGTAATAAGTCAACGGGCTACGTGACACCAAACAGGCTCATAAAGGGTGTGCCACACTCGCTGCCATGGCTACAGGTGCCGCTTACTGACACTCCCACGTTTAAATTGACATAGGTACCCAATAAAGTGGCTGGGGCATGGCCGCCGGGGAAGCTCGGTTGGTAAAGCACCGAATGCGTTATTCAAACGTCGCAGGTACCGTTCCTGCCCAATGCAAATTATCTTTTCGCCCACTCTTATTTCTTCACATTTACACTACAATGCAGTCTAGTAACTTCCCCTACACTTTCCTTGGCATTATTGTCTGTTAGATCTTATTAATATTGTGTCAAACACGGAGAGAGCATTCTAGGAACAGGCCCGGGCTGTCGTCACCGTATGCTATCGTATACTGTTGCTTCATTTCTTGTCGGTACCTTGAGCAATTATTGTCAATCTATCTATACAGTAAAATCTCGCTTGAGCGAACTTCAGCGGACCCAAGCAAATAGTGCACTTGACTGAAAGCTCACTGAACTGAAGTTGTTATCGGATTACGAAACAGCATCAGTCACAAGAGAAATAAAGTTGGGCGCATGAAATGGAATTCGTTTGGAAAATAATTCTGTAGTTTTCATTTCAACCGGTGCCCTTAACGCGCTTGAAGAGACAAAGCTGTCCAGATAGTTTGTTTCTGATCCCTGCCTCTGGCCCAGCTTATTGATGCGAGACGGTCTCGCAACTTTGTAGTATGTGTATACAGCCTCAGCTAGAAATGCAGGATTCGAACCAGCCTCATCCATTGCATCTTCATCGTCACACTCTTCTTCAGGTTTCGGACGAACGCTTTAAACAATTTCCAACTCTGATATTTCTGTGCTAGTATTGAAGCGCACGTTGCAGTCCAAGCACTGAAGCACACATTGCAGTGCGACAGGACTGCAGAGCGCAAAGCATTAGTCGATCGTTCTACAACAAAATGAGCCCTGGTCCACAGATCAAGTTTGTTCAATTGAAATAATCACTACTCAGAAGTTTGTTAAAGTGGAAGATTTTTGCATAAAATGCAGAAGAAAACCACCACGGATTTTCGAAAAGTTTCTTATTCTGAACCATTCGCTAAACCGACGTAAGCTCAACTGGAAGCTCATGGTATTTCTAAGACGACTTGAAAAGACGCTTAAGAGAAAAAAAAAAATTTTCCCCCTCATTAGACAGCTATCCTTTCGCAATCGGAAAGCACAACCCTTCCCGCGAGAAGACAACTTAGCAAGCCAGAACGTGAGAAAGAAGAACACGCAGGTGGCGGTGCCACCGTGAAGTTGTCGCACCGTTTCAATGTGATGTTAGATTTTGATGGCGCTTACAGGGGCGTACATACGTCATAATACATAAAAGTTTACGTACGCTGTGCCTATACGAGGGCAGATTTCGCATACCAAGTGTGCACTGGTTTTGTGTCAGATCCAAGTTGAACAAAACAGTACATAACAGTGACGTCCCCCTGACAACAGCGTACAACTATAGCGACGGAATATGTAAAAGTAATAGCCGATGAAGTAAACGTCAGTATTTAGTAAGTACTGACGTTTACTCCATCGGCTATTACTAAACTCATTGTGACAAAATTAACGATGGTACAGTTTTAAAAGAAGTATGAATTAGTTTAAATGAATTCATTGTTTTTGATTTCAATGAACACTGGCTATACAATGAAACTGAAGAGCAACTGCCCGTTTGGACACGTCTCTCGCTTCTTATGGTATCCGCTAACGCCACCAATGAACGAGACATAACGAATGCCTACTTTCCTTATGGCCTGTCTCTCGGCAACATTGCTAACGGACAGTTTTTTCCGCGTGGAGACAACCATTATTGTTCCAGGACGGGTGTGGCTCGAGTAGTGATTGAGTGTGCGCAACAGACATCGTTGATTTTCATGCCAGGTGCGCGTTCATACGATTATCGCCTCTTTCAGACCATCGAGCCCTACGGTACGCTATGCGAAATCGCTCTAGCCTTAGACGTATAATTTTCGTGACTACATTATAGTGCGTTCACATTGTTTATTGCTTTTTAGACCGTAAGTTTCGAACGCAGATACAATAACATGTATTCGAGCGTTTTCCTTGATGTCTGCAACGAGAAATGCACACAGCCAATATTAGTAAGGCATGCATTCCTTCATAGAGGTTGTATAAGCGGTAAACGTCTGACTTCAGACAAGCTGTCTGACGCTTGGATAAATAGATCTATTCTTGTAAAAAGGTGCCGTGCCACCTGTGGAATGAGACGGCCATCTTCATCTGTTTTCCACTTGCTTATTTCAGCAGAAAACTAGTACCGGCAGAGACACCAGATGCCTGTGGCATCAGCGACCGTTTTGAAAATTAATGCGCGAAAATTGACAAGAGGGGCTTGACACAATATGTACGTCTATCAAAACTACGGCCAGCCTGTTTCAGACACTTCAATCATGTGCATTTAAGCTTCACAGCCCATGATGTTTCCATTCGTTGGCTCCCAAGTTTATATGGATGCCTGTATACAGGGAGCAAGAATGAGATGCAGTACATTCGGCAAGCATTATAAAATTGCGAGTGGTAGTCTACCACTTTCCCTCAAGAGAAAAGTATAAAACAGCTGCATACTACGGGTACTTACATACGGAGCAGAGGCCTGGGGACTCGCAAGGAATGGTTCACTTATATTGAGGAGGACGACGCAGCGAGCGATCGAAAGGAAAATGCTAGGTGTAACCATAATAGACAAGCATAGAGGTGAGTGGGTCGGTGAAAAAATAGGGGTTGAGGATACCATAGTTGAAATCAAGATGGAATGGGCATGGGCCGAAAAGGTAGAGCGCAGGCAGCATAACCACTGGTCATTAAGGGTAACTTGCTGGATTCCAAAAGAAGGCTGACACGTAAGATGAAGAAGACAGATAATTAAGTGGGTAGATGAGATTAAGAAGTGTGCAGGTGTAACGTGGCTGCAGAAGGCACAGGAACAGGTCGATTGACGGAACATTAAAGAGGCCTTTGCTCTGCACTGGGAGTTAGGATGATGACGATCACGATGATGATGGGCATTAGGTCATTACTACCGCGAACGAAAAATGTGGTGCTGATTTATCCCGGCTTCCATGATTCCCGTGAGAAATAGCTTCAGGAATAATAAAGGTCGACCATAGAGGAAGTCGAAGTTACAATGCCACAAGAAACATTCGTTACTCGAAGTACCGAAAGACGCCTGACGACCACCTATCCGAAGCCTGGGAAGTCACGCTGTTCCCTGAAGACGTGGATGAGCAGTGACAACTCATCCCGAGGGCTAAGAGGGTATGTGGAAGCCATGAGGTTTCCTGTACTAGGAAGCCCTCCAACCTCAGGGTGATGCAGGGCACCAATCGCAACAATGTTCCGAAAATAAGCGCTTATTTCGCCCTGCATCTTTTTAACTCTTTCTTTCTTGAATAAATTGTGCTTCGAATTTCGGACTAGCGATTTGCCAGTGTAAACAAAACGTGTTGCAAAACTAGTGCATAAAAACACGAGGGCACACGAAAAACGCCAGGCCTGCGCAGCAGGCGCATCGCAGTCACAGCGA